CTTTATATTTACCTATTTTCAAACATGAATTAAACACTTCAATATGTGTTTGAATGGAAGCTTGTTTCCACCACGGGATGAAAAAATAAATAAATGTTCCCTCACAATTCTGACTTTTTTCTTGCAATTTTGAGTTTGTCGCGCAATTATGTTTTCCGGTGTACTGCCACAGGATTTAAAAATATTAAAATATTAAAATATTTTTTGCTTGCAATTGTGAGTTTATATCTGTATTTGTATCTGTCTTAATTCTTGCTCTTCTCAGAATTGTGAGTAAAAGTCCAAATTGTGAGATATAAAGGTAATTGCAGCTTTATATAGAAATTATATAAAACTTATATATTATATAAGTTTTGTGGTGGATGTGTGTTTTCAGGCTCGGATGAACCCAGAAACAGTCTAGTTATTACAGGACGCTTTAATGCTGTTCCTGATAGCGCCGAGGGAAGTGATACTGAAAGAGTTTGTCTAGACGCTCAGATGTGCTGTGCTTGTGGTTTTGTCCAGACTCACGGCTGTAATTCCTCTCTCTGCAGCAGACCAGAGCATCTTGCACTGTACTGCTGTCATCAGATGAGTTTATGGCAGGACTGTGATGAAGTCGTGTGCGGATCACGCTTTGAGGAGATTTATATCATAATATCAGCGGTGCTGTTTTTCTTTTGCTAGAAATGTAACCTATAATTGTGTTTTTCAGTTTTTGTTTTGCATTGTTTCCGTTTAATTTTAGAACTCTTGATGATTTGAGAAAATACTTTACAAATAACAGAAAAAAGTAATGTAAAGTGAAAAAAAATTAATTACTATTATAGCACATAATTATTTTACTCATCAACATTGATAACGATAATAATAATAGTAAAATTTTATTTAAACTTGATTAAATATTAATAAAATATTTGTAATGTAATCATTAAATAATAGTTAATGACAAAAATTATAATAAATGTACTAATATTTGAATAAAATAAATGCACAATTAAATAACATGTTTAAGAATAATAATAAACAGTCAATATAATCCACTAGTTTAGTAATATTGATTAATATATAATTTGATTAATTTTTAAATATTAGTGTACTTTATAAATAACATTTTTTTTATTTGTTACTATTATTATTGTTATTAAAATACGTATATATATATATATATTGAGTTGAGTGAATCGTTACAGCCCTAGTTGTAATTCAGTACCTATATTTTATATAAAAGTACTGTTAGTTTAATTAGTATCTTATTGTTTTTGTTTGTGCTATTGATTGTCATTAATTTATTTGTTCTTATTTTATTATTTTCTATGTACTTGTCTTTTTTATTTAAAATAAATTCAATTCTGAGTGCACGTGATTCTCGGGAGGGGCGGGGTGTGTGGGATTCGAGAGAGTCCTGTG